TCGTTGGGCAGGTTGTCAAGCTGATTGCAGGTGCCCGCCATGTTGAGGAGTTGTTGGTTGAGTAAGCCGGCCAAATACGGTTGCTTCTCGGCGAAGAAATAGCAGCAAGATCCACACAGATATGAATCTCTCCAGAGATCTCGGCAAAGACTTGTTTACGCAAGGTTGGATGGATGAGATGATGAAAGCTGCCGGCAAGGCCCAGGAGATGGGCGTACGTGTGTTATAAATCAAGCCGCACATTGTATATGTGCAATACAACGCCTTCAAGCACGCGTCGGATACGTACATGGATTGCCCCGCTCTCCGAATATCGGTCTTTGCACAATGCAGAATTGCAGAATATGCATGTTGCCATTGCGCTTAGGTGCATAACCTAGCTTCCATTCGGCGGACACCTCGATTGATCGATTTCCGTCCCGCCATGCTTCTCATCGTCCAAGGTTCATGCGCCGCACCGGGTTACTCTTGTTATACCACGATCCATGGTCATCTCACTCGATTATCGTCGGCTTCAATTTGGCAACGCACATATTAACTTTGCTGCCTATCGTTGACGTACCATGCCAGCATGTTCACACTATATAAGGCAGACAAATCTTCGCGGACACCCGGCTGGTCAAACGACCCGCAATGGGCTACATCCCGCTGTCTCTTGTCCCTCTGCTTCGTCCTAGCAGTAAGCGGTGTCACTGCTATGAGGATGAGATTGGGGGGCTTCCATATATCAGTTGCCAATAGAGCGACGTGGTCTCGCCTGGCCACTCACGATCTTCAACTCAACGCAATGCACGGGGTACGAGTTTCTACCACTCCATGACCCTTGGCCTAGTATCCGTTATATTCACTCTTCAACTGCTGAGTATAAACAGCAAGATTTGCATCCATGTTGGGAAAAGGCCAACCTTACATCGTAGACCTAGATGTACTCAGCTGTCCGGTTTTCAGCCTTACGTGACCGTGGTGCCGGTAAAGGAATCTCAGTCAACTCCATACACCTGCGTTGAGATGCTTCACTCTTGAGCAGTAGACCGAAACCTGCATATACAGACAGAAACGAGACAAATTCACCCGGTCTCAAGTAGCACATCAAACGACAGCGTATCCCTGTGTCAAGCCATGCCAATCATCCTGATAAGCCTATGCCGCTCGAACACGCGGTATATTATCAGAACCGGTTCAACCTTGACTATGCAGTTGGCGGCCGTGACCCGACCTCCAGGAGATCGGCGGGTCCCACAGAAGGCCGTTCTCTTCGTCCCCTGGATCATCCTTCCATCGAGTGATTAAACTAGGAACTAGAGCATAGAAAGACAGCCGCCCCGTACATGCCACTCCTCACGTATCATAGCATTTCACGTACGGTACTCAAGTAAACGGCAGGGAACGCAAGCATCAGCCAAATCTTTCTGATGCCAAAACCCGGATGTCACCTGCTTGGCCTGGTGGTCCTGCCGTTCAGTCACGCAGCCAAAGATTTTATTGCTGATTCTGATACAGGTTCATGATACAGAGACTCCGATATGTGCCGAAGCATGTACCCAAGCATCTACCTTTTTCGAAGTTGAATAATATTTACACGCGCTCTGGGGAAATTCGTGCTGTCCCGTCTTGTCCATGAGCCAGGACCCCAAACAACATCCGACGACAAACCGACGCAGATTGTGGATTGTGCGTGACGAACAGACCTATGAGAACAACGCAAGGACCAGCTTGCCACTGCCGGATAGCAGGATCACCTCGCCCGTTACTAACAGAGAATTCTCTTTCTCACTCTCATCATGTGTTTCAGCGTGGACCGAAGTGACACCTCGTAATCTCCGGTACGCTGTTCTCTGTGCGTTGTGTGTGACGGTAGCTCTACCCTGTCTGGGGCAAACAGACTCTGGCTCAGGATCCTGTGACGCCCATGATCGATGAGGCCAAGGTGAGAAAAGCCGTTATTTGGTACCACGTCGAAATCTATCGTCGGGACGAGAAGGAAAGAGAGAAAAGAAAAAATAAACTCCCGCATTTTCTACAGAGTCAGTGGTGTTCGTGCGGTTAATGAACCGTGCCACTGTCACTCTACCAAGTGTGACGTCTGTGAATCATCCGCTTCTCTGCGTGGGCGTATAAAGGAGACCATTCCCATGATGCGAGCTCTCGCCGGAATCTCTCCTGTCAACTTCGCAAAAGTTACAATTTTTGTCTCTTCACTCTTCGTCGCTCGTTACTCCTACAGTCACTCATTTTGCCCATCATGACCCCGAACTGTTTCCTGGCCGTCGTGGGCCTCATCATCGCCCCCGTCATGGCTGGCAGGCCGCAAGGTTATGGATACGGGGGCGGGACCGACACACCTTTGAGCGCGTCGAACCCTCCCGATGGCAGCATGCCATCTATGCCGTCCGCCATTTTGCCTGTCACGGTCACGGAATCGGTTCTGGTGGACAACCCCGTTACTGTTACGGAGATAGTCACTGTACCAGGGGCCGACTGCAACACGAACACCAACTCTGACACAACCATCCAGAGCACCACCCACATCACTCTGACCAGCAAGGACACCGTAACCATCTCAGTCACCCCGGCTCAGTCTATAAGCACCAGCGAGACAGTCATGGCCACAAACATTCCCGGAACAGCCGCTCCCTCTTCTACTGACGTCACGCCAACGGTATCCAGTACTGGGTCCATCAATTCCGTGCCGGCCGAATCCAGTGCCGCTTCCAGCGATACCATGCCGACTACATCCATTCCCACCCCCATGCCAGGGAACAACACGACTTCATGTGAATCATCGCTCATCAGTAAGACAACCTCTCCTCAAGTCCCCTCAAACGAGACCTTTAACATCACCTCCTCTAACACTCACTTCCAAAGCTACCGGCAACGTCGACGGCGCCACAGGCAGTGTCCTCCCAACCATCACCAGCACCATAACGCTGCCCATCACACCAAGCACGGGATCCAACGGCACAAGCGGCAACGTAACGCCCTACATGCCAACACCAACGGTCCCCATATCAGAGGGCGTCAAAGGTCTAGGCCTAGACGACGCCCGGGTCCTCGCAGGTGCCATGGGTCTGGCATCAATGGCATACATCTTCTTCGTCTTCTAATTTTTTCCCCAACGATCCGAGGGCAACAAGGCAAGGGAGGGAGGAGAAGGAGGAAAACAGCGTAAGCTCATAGCGTGGCCTTATCGTGTGTGCATCATGCCCGGTTCTCTTCTCCTGGTGTTTTTTCTTTTTTTTTAATGTCTACTATCACTTCCTTCGTCATTGGCTTCCTACCTGCTTTCTTCGCGAAGCTAGGTACCTCACCTAATACTAGATAGTATCCGGTATGCACTACATGATAGCACGGTAATTAGACGTTGTTCCTGCCTGCCTCTCTATCTAGCCGTCTTCTGCTTGCTTTGATCCGTCTTGATATGTATGCCTCTGCACGCTGGTTGGCAGAAGCCGGGACGAACTTGTTGGTTTCGTCGTGGAATAGCGTCGTTACCGACTGTTTGCATCGCTGGGCACTTTGCGTCATGCAATGCGTGATCCTGCGACCAAACCGGCGGGGAAATGTGTCATGCCGTTTATATTACAATCCTGACCCAGCTTGGTTCTTAGGGTTTCTGCTGGTCCGTCGATGGCAAGGTGAGGAACACAAGCCCGGCTTCGAGACCGGGATGGGGAGAACGTGCCTTGCCCGCCTTTGGGCTTTCTCGTCAGTAAGCAGTATGTCGAGCGTAGATTCATAGAAAGAGTGACAAATTCGAAACGAGTAGAAATAACCCGATAGGCAGGGTCAGTACGCATCACGGTTCCTGATTGTGGCCGGAAGCGTCTTCAATGCTTCTAAGGCCTCAGTCCAAGCCTTTCCTAGCCGGTATCAACGGCTGCTGGCATACTCTCGTCACGTAGTTATTGGCACGCTGAACGCGGCGATGTTTGTTGGGGCTAAAGGCAGCGGTGATAGCGTGATCAGGAGCTAGGTATTAGGATTTCTACAACTGGGTGTCTTCCAGCAGAGCGTCGGCGTCTCGAAACCGATGGGAATACTGCCTAGATGAGACGTGCAGCGGCATACGTGCTTTTACTTATGGTTCATGGACGCATCTTCTGGGCTCCTCGGCGATCACAGGAGACAACGCGGTCACTCGTGGAGAATCAGACGTGGCGGAATCAAGCAGCCTCATAATTTGATGTATATTCAATGGAGCTTGATCACAGAACGTAATGCGTGCTGACTCTACAGATCGCGAGAACCAGCACGAAACCCACGACGCGACGTATTCGCATCAAGCTCTACGTAGCGGTTAGAAAGGAAAGCAAAACGCCGAACTGGACGCCACGAGTCTACTCACAAAAAGCAAGCAAAGCGAAACCGCAAGAAAAAAACAAAAAGCGGTAGAAAGTCTTCCTCGCGTCACCACACAAGGTGATGAAAGCAATGAAAACCAAAGCGGAAAACAAATCAGTGTTGTTGTTAAAGAATCAAAAATTCCGGAGATTGGGACACACGAGGCATCGACAAAAGGCGGAAGGCGACCACGCTGTGCAATGCAGGCCCGCCAGCCCTGAGGATGAGGATTCTTGAGCCCTCTTCTCTCCCTCCAAGGTAAGTATGAAGAGAAAAGAAAAGAGGGAAAGGAAAGACTGGAAAGGACGGGAGGACGCGGTGGCTTATATAGATATCGCTTAGGCGGTGTAGGGCGGCAGAAACGTGAGTGGGTCCAGGCAGCAGCTGGAGCTGGAGCTGTCCATCTTTCTTATTTACGGTGTGCGAGTTACTTGGAGATACACCGGATGCGCTGCTATATCCGCGGCGGATAAAGGTATTATGGAGGTATCTAATATGCCCGCACGCGCCACAAAAAGAGACCGCGCAATATACGGCGCGGGTCAGGTTTACCGTGCCCACCCTTCGTCGCTGAGATCGTTCTCGAAAGGGTCGCAATAGCTACGCCCGGCACGATTCAGATGATTTGGACCGACATTACGCACTCACCGGCCACCATCGCCCTGGTAGCTCAATTGGCTAGAGCGTCGGACTTTTAATAGATCCTGATCTATGATTAAAAGGCATCCGAAGGCTGCGGGTTCGACCCCCGCCTGGGGCGCGATTTCTTTTTTTTCTCTTTTACTTGTTTTTGTTTTTTTAAACTGGGACCGTTCCTGTTCTTCCGGCTGGGAATGGGGTCGTTTTGATGCGGTATTTTTAATATTTAATTTTTTTTCGTTCCGCTTTTATATTTTTCTTGGCTTTGGTTTTCTTTTTCTGCCTTGCTGGCGGTCGCTGGCTGTCATTCCGTGAGGCGGGTTGCGAATAATAGGTATCTCGACTGCTGTCTCCATATATTTCTTGCATGGCCTTACGAAGTACGGATACAATGAGTCAAGCAAGTCACCGACTCCCTTATCAACAAACCAATACATGTGACATGCTCATGATTTACTCATTTCGTTTCGTTCATTTATTTATTACATACATCGATTCCGTATCCGGAACGCTTTGATAATAATACATTAAAGGGGGGGCACCGGTATACGGTACCATGATTATTAAATTAACATCCCCGGCGGGCTATCTGATTTAGAGGCACAGGTTGCTCGACACGTGCGGGAAGATGTCCAGCGGGAACCGGTCCGCGATGGCCTGGTACCCGGCCGGGTTGGGGTGCAGGTGGTCGCCGCTGTTGTACTGCGGCGCAAGCTGCGTCGTGTTCTTCGGGTTGGCGAGGAACTTGGCGAAGTCGATCGCCCGGGCGTAGCCGCCGGCACCGCCGGACAGGATCCAGTCGTTCAGCTCGCGGCGAGCCGTGTCGCGCACGGGCGCGCTGTACGCCTGCCCGTCGCCGCCGAAGGGGGTGATCGTCGCGCCGAACATCTCGATGCCCGCCTTCTTCGCGTCCGAGGTGATCTGCTTGAACGCGGCCTCGAGATCGCTGACGATCTTGTCCTGCGTCGCCTTGTCGGCCGGGGCGGGTCCGATGTCGTTCACGCCCTCGAAGATCAGGCCCCAGGCGGCGCCCGCGGTGCTGAGGAGGTCACGCTTGTAGCGCTGGATTAGCGGCGGGCCGTTGCCGCCTGATAGGACTGCGTTGCCTCCCGCTGCTTGGTTGACTACGGCGATGTCGGTGATGTTCTCCTCCTGCATTCTGGCGAGGAGTAGGTCGGGCCATCTGTTGCGCGGCTCGTGTTAGTTATTTGCGACGCTGGGGATCGGGGATTTATGTTTGAGGGCCGAGTCTTACCTGTTGTTCTCGTTGTCGGTGCTGCCACGGCCGTCGGAGATACTGTCACCAATGATGACCAGGGCCTTGGTCGTTGTGGGGGCCCAGGCCTCGATGGCGGTTAGGAAGTACCAGTGGGCCGTGAACGCGTCCGTTACGTTGAATGCGTTGACAAGGTTGCCCGGGCTCATCCATGAGTCGGTTCGGCTACCGGGGTGACCAGTGATGTTGGTGCCGGTCTGGCCGGCCTCAGAGTACATCGTGACGGTGACCATAGTCTGGGGCCCGATCGAGACGTCGATGGGGTCTGTGTAGATCGCCTGACCCTCGGGGATCACGACTGAGCTGGAGCCGTTGAACGTGAGGTTCAGGAGCGTCGCAGGCTCGATGGTGCCCACGCCGGCGTTGTCGCCGGGAGGGAACGCGAAGGACATGGCGTCGATAGGCAACGGGCTACCGCCGAAGATGTTGGAGACCTGGATGCGGATCCTTGAGGCTCCAATGGACGTGTGGAGGGTCTGGCGCAGCGTGGCGTTGACGAACACGTTGGATCCGGTCTATGCGAGCGTGTTAGTTGCTGAATAGCACGGACTCGGAGGCAGACTCCATGGGAGATTGCTCCGGTGTAACTCACGTAAGGGGCCGGAGGCAGGTTGGCCTGCTCGACCAATTGGGGCATCGACGTCCATGTCGCTACCCAGTGTCGATCCTCCTTGTGTGGGTTGCCCCCGTTTCCGTGGTTCCCATTTCCTTTTCCGTGGCCTTTTCCGTTGTTCAAGGCATCCACCGGTGATGCTGCCACGCCTGACGACAGCAGGCAAGCCGCCGCGAGGGAGGCGAGTTTCATGTCCCACAGCATTTTTGCACGTGAAGCTGTCGAGCTGGGATTAAGAGTTACGCTTCCTGGGTGTAGGTATGCAAATTACGGATCCAGGATGCTGGGAACAGCCCGTTTATATACCTGCATGCCACCGGAACACGGCCACTCTGGCTCGTCCCTGTGGATGTTCATTTCCGGTCCCCAGGAGCGATGCTCTGTGAGGGTTTTCCTCCTGCCCTTGCGGACTGGTAGCCTCCGTTTAGCGTGTGCCTCCTATGCCTTTCCCCTGTTCGCTGGCGGCGGCTTGCTAATAGCTTTTACGTATTGTATTACGACATGGCTTCGCGTTACATTGCAGCAACTACGGTGAGTGGTCGCGTGGGACCTGGTGAGGCGATGGCAAGCCGGGGAAAGGAGGTGACGATCTGGGTGTGGGGTTGTTGATCGCCAGCGGTTTGGCTTGGCCAGATCAGATCGTGGAGGATTACCTGCTAGTAGCTGGTTTGGCTACCTTCTAGTGCACACGATGGTCAGGCATGGTAGCGACGAAGCGCACATTAGCGATGTCTGGGAGTTTCGGTTAATTGGCCCTAGGGTGGATTTTGTGGCGGGGATGCCCATGGGGAGAGGATAGCCATGGCACCTCAGTCGTAATGCCGACAGGAGAATTGGGGATGACAGGGGCCAAGAAGTCGGGGAATGCTTTTACCCGGCTTAGGGCGCGGTCTGCCCGGCTTAGACGCGGCATTTTGCCAAGACATGCCAACACCTACCCTATTCAAACTCTGAGGGGAATCCGACACGGCAGCGCGCCGTTCGTCCGAGTAATATAATAATATATGTTCCGTACACTGCGGTGGTCTCGTTCAGTCTCGAATCTACCGACGAACTCGGAATATCAACCTCTACACTATAGGGATCTCTCGCTTGCTTGATTATACCGATCAGGAAGGTTTGGTGGCAAATTTGTCAACGGCCCCTGGAGATTACGGGGTACTAACCTGGGACTTTAACCGTGTGCCGGTCTCCAGGAAACTCCCCGTCAAGCCCTCTGTTGGAACAACATTTCCGCGATTTCCCCAACGACTAGGTGGCGCTGGACATGGAAGAGATGAGCTTGTTTTGCACGAGCTAAAGGTGCGGGTACTTGGTGCCAGAGCGGGAAGCCATAATAGCTTTCTTTTTCTTATTATTTGGGTCGTAGCGAGATGCCTAACTATTTCCTGGTGGTAATAGCTTGCTCGCTTCTTATTACAACGAAACTTCGATTCTGTTCTCTCTATTTGCAATTTCTGCGACGATTCATGAGTCTCCGGTTCCCCTCTTGATCGTCTTGACCGTTTGGAGATCTGTACTTTGTAGATAAAGGATAATACGGTGAGCTGGACCATACGGAGCTACGGGCCGGGTTGCGGTACCAGATACCCCGCAGAACGGGGTTGTGCCGTCAGAATTTCGGGAACCCGATAGTGGGCGATGGTTGCTGGCCGAACCTCGATCAGATCCGAACGGCGTGTGTGAACGAGCACCTAGCAGCATCAACGCTGGTGTTGAACACGGTCGGGCGACCGGTATAGGTGTACTAGATCCGGCTAGGTCTTATTCAGCATGCCAATTTCCAGCATTTTTACGCTGTATTGTGTGCATATCATATTGCAAGTTCTCTCGTTCACGGCAAGCCAAGCTACGTAGGGAGCTAAACAGAGGCATGGTGCAGGCCACCGTCAGATTTCAGTTTGAACGGCTGTTGGTCTGCAAATACCGCACGCTCGCATGCTTGGCCGCATCACGGTCCACATCTGAGCGGTGCAATAGAGAGAGGAACTCACATGCCCGAAGCGCATGGAAGACTTACATAGAGCAAACAGAATCACTCGGGGAGTTACTTGGCTGGTGACGGGCGGTTCTGCTCGAAATGACCCTGGCTAGCAAGTTTCGATTCGTAGATCCGGTGAATACAGCAATAAGCACCCCTTTTCGTGGTGAAACTGCTTACATGGTGGTCATGGTAGCAATGGTCATTGGCTTACCGTTGTGGTCCAGGGGCATGTCGGGCGTGACAGGCCGAAATGGCTGATGGATATTGATCTGACCACAGGTACATGCCTTGGAAGCCGACTGCGCAATCTGCCAGGGCGAACGAACAGCCTTTCAAGGGGTCAAAGAAGAGACGAGTACTCGGCAGTCCGCACTGGGCGGTTTTGAGGGCAACTTCTTTTTATTTCCCTATGAATTAACCGGCCTCGGATCTAAGTACACTGCAGAAAAGGCTAGGAGATCCGGGATATACCTGCTATGTCCGGAGGAGGAGGATTGGTAGGGAGCGGATGTAGTAGGTAGAGACGTTCCACTGTCCTTCGGTAGGTACCCAGTCTGACGACTCGGATCGATGACCGACTTCTAGCTTGGGTCTACCTATTAGTACAGAACTTTCCTTTCGTATGGGGCAGGTCAGCAATGCCTACGAGCTTAATTAACCAACTTGGGCTGCACCTCGGCTGGGCCATGTCTACCTAGACGGTCGCTGCCTCAGCTCCTAAATAAAAAGGAGCACATGTGTGTGTAGCCAGTTGGGATTTTTCTTGATATGTGGCGGGATTCTGAAAGATTTACAGGCCCGAATCAATTGACTGGGCACCTGTAGATGAACCTCGAAGGCGTACCCATGAAAGATGTCACGATTACCCGGGGGCTATTAAGACACATGAAGTGCGGTCCCTGTGCGGATTTTTACTGTTGGGGGAGGTTCGGCGGAGTCCTCGACATCCCGAATACGGCTTGTAGGCTCGCTCCGCCGGTGCCGGACCTCGCGGCGGAGAGATTATCGGCTTTAGCAACTGCATTATACCCACGTATACCATGTAGTCGCCTAACCACAACAAAAAGACGGATTACTGAGTAGAATATATGCACGGTATAGCGCTTGGCAGGTTGCTGACTCTGGTCGCCCTCATCGGACCACCACCCATGTATTAACCCCCAGAAGTCGTCGCCATCGGTTGACTGAGTCGTTAGTTGCCTTTCGACACGCCGTCCACGAGCGGTCTCAGAGCGGCCAATGAACCGA